TCAGAAACTTCTCATGTGAGACAAGATTCAAATTTTTCATGGTGATTTCATGCACAGCTGCACTAGGAGCTCACATCTGGACCTTACCAAGTGCCTATCATGTGCCAGGCTGAACGACATGAGGAACCAGGCAAAATCATCCCACAACTCACACAAACTCTGCTAGGTAGAGGCATTTCTCGATGATTCAGACCCAAAGGAGCAATGTACCTCTAGCAGAAGGTTGAAGAAACAAATAAATAAAGCTGCAGATGACAGCTTTCAGTACTTTTTTTCTCTCTGACTTAGTTTTTAGATGTGGAAAATCGGCATGACGTCTGCTTTTCACTGGAGTTAACTGATCTTCACTAAATTTAGTAGCCAGCACTTATTCTTATTTATAGGGCAATCTGGCATCTTCAAAACCAACGAGAGTGGTCAACATTTTTAAATGAACCTATGTTCTGACTGTGCTTCATGAAATAATTGTGGGGCTATACAAAGCATTAGTATTTACAAAAGTAAAAACTCTATTTTCTCTACAAATGAACAGAAGCAATCAAAACCAGCTATTATCTAAGAACATTATTTCCACCTGGCACTGTAGCACATTAAATATGCAAGTAGGCAGCAGAGCTCAGACACACAGAGCTTGGTCCCTGAAGTCAGTCTGATGTGAACTGCATTCCAGAAAGTTCCCTATCCAAAAAGGTTACATTTCTTCCCCTACTGAACAAGGAAAACAACAATACCTAAGTTAGAGGGCTGTCATAAGGATACACGAAAATGTGGTAAATTTTGAACTGTACAGCATGCTGTAAGCTAGCAGCCTTTTAAAGATGTGCAGCTTAGGCAAAGACTGTGATTCCTTTCCATTTTCTGAGTGAAATAAGACAGAGGTTAGGAAGCCATGCCCCGTGGAAATTGGCCTACGATAACTGCTAAGAAAAATATACATGCATATAATCCTGATCACTCTAATAATCACTCCTGTGCCCTGACTCAGAGAATGACTTGTTGTGCTATTAGGATCTCTCATTTTTCAGAATCCTAATACCTGGATCTCAGCTTCCACATTTCTCTCCATTAATCTTTACAAACAAGATCAGAAAGCAAGGTAACTTGACAAAAAATAGGGAAGCAAAGTTACCTAAATAGGTTGAAGTCTTCAGTGGGCCAAGATTTTTATGTGGCCAGAGGGGAAAAATATTAATACAGGTTTTCTTTTGGAAGGAGTTATAAGAAGGGTCTACGAGAGAAAATCTGAACATAGATTTGATTCAATGTCCTAATGAAACCAGTTTGGAATGTGAGAGTCAACCAAGTCACTTGCACAGGACAGAGTATGGTTGAAGTAGCCATCCAGGTCTTCTCTTCCAGAGTTCAATGACACATGTCATCCCATGATTTGCTGGGTTGTCAAAAGTGGTTTATATCTAACTCTGGAAACAGGGATGCATTTATCAGGGGCACTACCTCTCCCAGGATTTTCATGTGTATTGCAATGGTACCCCGTTCATTCACTCATCTGTCCAACCAGTCACTCAGGACCTACTTATGTGGGTGATACTGTGGTAGATGCTAAGGTATAACGTTAAGAGTTCCGTAAACATCAAAGATAATGTAACAATACATAATTCAGTGCTTACTGCACAGGAAAATGTCAGGACAAATTAAAGACAAGTGAAATTTGGAAGTTTCTTGTTATTTAGGGGGTGGCATGTGTGTGGGGGTGGGTATGCACATACTGCTTAATTAAATAAGCAATCCAAAGGCTTGGAGCATGGAGTAGAAGCTCCGCAAAGCACACCTCCACCACTGCTATTTATTTAATGAATACTCCTGGGCACTCTTTAAATTGAAAGATGGTTCATTAGACTTGTGCATCTGCCCTTCTCAGCAATCTGTTGTGTTTCTGATGAAGGCAGGGAAACACATGAACATATCATTTCAGGAGTGTTATGAGTACCTCAGCTTCCAATGATTACAAAGTCATAAAGGGTTCAGACTGCCTCATTTTGGGAAAACAATTTGTCTGAATCATTCTCTGTCCGGTCCTATCTCATTCTATTCTCATTCGTCTTGGCCATCTCAAGTTCTTTTAATTTATTTTTCAAACTAATCATCTAATACATTATCTCCCAGCTATAAATATAAGCAAGTTGTTAAGGTACCAAAAAATAAGTCTTTTCATAAAGGGCCAAAAAAAATCTCTTTCTTAAAGTGTGTCCTTGTCTCAATCGAGTTGTCATTACCTCTCCTGGGTACCCGTCCTACTTCTACCTACTGCCATCTGTTCTGGGGGCTGGTTAGCTATGTGCCATGGATAAATATAAACTCTAGGAAGGCAAAAAAAAAAAAATCCTTTAAAAAAACTTTGTCCCTATAGAGGCTAGTAAAAGAATTGAATGAAATAATTAAAGTTAGCTTTCCCTAAAGTTAGCCACACACTTTGGTGTGGGCCTTAACTATTAAACACCGACTCACTCACTTGCCACCCCTTAGCAAACATCTATTCCGGGCCTACTGGGTTTGGCCCCATAAAGGACACATGGATGAATATGCAACACAAGCAAAATATGAAAATGTCCCTGCCCTCACAGAGCTTATGCTTGGATGCTGACCCAGAACACAGTCACCAAGGGTTGAGTGTGATAATCCTACAGAGATGCTCTCTGGAGAACACATACATTTTCAGACAGTGCCTTGAATGGAAATAGCTGTTTTCTTAAGAAGAGATTTCAAAGGGGCCTTTTTCTTCTCTTATGGAGAAGGCTGATATACAAAAAGGATTTTTAATGTCATATTTAGTGGATTCTCCTCTGAAATTATAGTCCTGAGCCAAAAAATGGCCAAGAAACCTTGTATCACATACCACCTCAAGCTCAAGCTTTGCTGGGTGTGGTGCTCACACCTATCATCCCAGTTACATGGGAGGATTGAAGGTCAGGCCAACCCAGCGCTAGAATAAATGTAAGACACTACCTGAAAAATAACTAAAGCAACAGGGCTGAGGGCATAATTCAAGCAGTAAAGCGCCAGCCTGGAAACACAAGGCCCTGACTTCAAACTCCAGTACAGTCCAACAAACAAAAAAGGTTAGCTTTTATTCAGCTGCTCAAAGGCTAAATGAAGAGAAGTCACTAAGGTCTTTTTATTTTTGTTTTTTGGTTTGAACTCAGGGCTTCATGCTGGAATTCTGGATGAAATGCCTATAAAACAATCTCGCACGATAAATATCTGTATATCCCATGTGTAGTACTGCTTTAAAGCTAATAGTTTGAAATAGTATCTGAAACCGTATTGACTAGCTTTAAATGGTCCAGTCTCACTGAGGTGAAGAGTAGTCACCTTCTAACTACTGTTGAAGGAAAATCCATTTGGTCAACATTGTTGCACACCATATTTCAGGTCCATGCAATTTTCAAAACTGATTTTATTCTTCATTTTATAAATTGCATCTGGGACTCTAACACTTGGGCCACACCTCCAGTCCATTTTGCTCTAGTTATCTGGAGATGGGGTCTTGTGAACTATTTGCCTGGGCTGACCTTAAACTGAAATCCTCCTAATCTCAGCCTCTCAAATAGCTAGGATTACAGATGTGAGTCACTAGCACCTGGCTCTCATTGATGTCTTTGAGGCTGATAAGTCTCAGTCCCCGTCTTTCTATCCCCTATATTATATATATTTATATATATAAATGCAGGTCTGGAATTCAGTATTTATTTCAAGTAGTGAAGATGCATAAACTAAAACTCAAGTTTGTTGCATCAATTTTGGAAAACTCTGAGTTGTAAGAGGCTCAGGTTAAAGGTATTCTGTACAGGATGCTGACTGGCTGACTCCTACAAAGATCTAACATTGAGCATTGCTGATGTGGTCATCTGTACTGAGTAACAGAAATGGGGACAGTGCTTGCCTCTGAGATGATGAGCAAGATCCACTAATAAAAAATCAAAATGCAGAACTGCCTCAGATGTATGAATGAGATATAACAGCAGTCAGTGATAGTCTGCCTGTTGTGTTAGAAAAATAACAGATTGTGCTACCATTACTGGTCAGAAAACAGGAGTTTTCATGTGAGGGCCACTGCATACTTCTTCAAGTAGCTGACTTGTGGAGGATAAAGAGAATCATTCATACAGCCAACAGGTGACTCCTACCTTACTATAAACTGCTATAGTGCTAGTGTATATATACATACATGTAAAATGCATCATTCAATGCCCCTATATAGTTATGATTGTCATTTAAGAAGCAAAAATTCAGTTTCCACAGAATCTGCTGCTCTGAAAAATGACTGTGGTTTCTACCTACTTGCTAAAAGACAGAGCTGCAAAACTTTCCACATCCTCCCACAGACAAGAAGGTGACAACTGTGAACTAATGCTACCCTCACTGATGCTGCATCACTTTAATGTTGCCATGACAAAACTGCAAAGCCCCAACTAGCTCTAAAAAACATGGGAAGTCCCTAAGCAGACCTCATGGTGTCAGGTTCTCTAACAGCCCAAGGGAGGGGGCCTCAGGCCTAAAGGACTGAGTCTTTTAGTCAGTTTTCAGCATGTCACGTGGAATAACTGTTTTCTTCCACGATTGGTAAAACAATTGGCTGGCTTTTGAGAACTTAACATCCTGCCAGCCCCAGCATCCTGGTTTCAAAACTGTTAAGATATCTAGAAACCTTACACGGATTTTCTTTTGTCCTGCGGACACATGGGAAAACACTCAACCCTAACATTTGGACTGGCTTCAAAGTTTCTGAGGCTGCTGTGAGCAGCTGTTCATGTCTAAGAAGCAGAAATGATAACTGTGAGATCTGTTTCCTCTTCTGGTGTTCTGAGAAGCCCGGGCCATAAAGGGCAGTGAGCAGGAGTTACTATGCCTTACTCCTCTCACAGGAATCTAGAGTAGGAGGGAGAAATCTGCTGCTCCACTGGCCAGCTGTGCACAGAGGCCTCTGCAGAGCATCACAGTCTGCTGAGCTGCATCAATTTCTGCATCTCATCAATACCTACCAGCAACATGAAGCTGTGCTCTGGCAGCATCCCATACTGTTGGACAAGCCGCTCTCGGGTCACACTGGGGAGTTCAGGAAGTGTGTCCCGAATCTGGTCAATATTGATCACTTGCTGAGAATCTACACCTGCTGGTAGAGATGAGGTGTCGTAGAGTACCAGGGGAGGCAAGTTGGGCTCTGGCATAAACCTAGGCAGAAAGAGCAGACAGGACCTGAATCTAGAGTAGCTCAACTAATCAGAACCATGAATCTATCACTGATATGAATGTTTGTGTTCAGGTGTCATGTTACTTGCATATGTTTCCAAATGTCCAGATTGCCTGGCAAAGTCTGTGCATAGGTGTCAAATCACTAAACATGCCACTCTCCAGACTTATAGAGTAATGATGAGAGGAAAGAATAGTAATGCAGGCCTCAGCCATATTCTGATTTATATGGTGGATAAAATATACATTCATAAAGACTTAGGTTGGAAACAAGAGGACCAAATAACAATCTACTTATGATGAAGAAAGATGACTTTCCCCTATCTTTAAATTTCTATTATTAGCAGTAGCTGGGCAATAAGTGAAAAACCAAAGGGCAGGGGGTGGTTTCCTTCTTGAGAGGGAGAAGAAATGCATGGATTCTGCCTAAGTAAAATGTAGAAACTATTGTGGAGGGAGGAAGGGTTGAATAGGCGGAGCCCAGGGCATTTTTTGGGCAGTAAAACTATTCTGTTCTGCTGTAATGGTAGATATGTATCATTACACATACACCAAAACCCACAGAATGTGCCACACACTGAATGAACCCTAGGGTAAGCTATAGACTTTTGCTACTAATAAGGTATCAGTATTGGTTCATCACTGTAGCAAACACACCATACTAATAATGCAAGAGTTGATAACAGGAGACTATGTGTGGGGGGTGGGAGGGAGTATATGGGAATTATGCACTTTCCACTCAATTTTGCTGTAAGCTTAAAACTATTCTGAAAAATAAAGTCAATATTTTTAAATGTGGAGGCTGTACCACTGCATACAATCTTATGAAACAAAGATGCCCTCCTACCCCTGTTCTATTGCAGCATGGAGGAACATAGAACGTTCTTGGGAAAAAAAGTGAACCTAGAAGATCACAGTACTTAAAATAACCTTGACATTGACAAACACCTAATAGGAGTCCTTCGGATAAAGGACTTCTATCTCACTCCTCTTCTCACTGACAGCAACAGGCGCACTTCACAAAGGAAAGGTGAGCAAATATCAACAACTCTGTTGCTTAAAACTGGCATATTTGCAATCTGCTAAACTCTATGGGAAAAGCAAAAGCTTTGATTTATATTAAACCTGTTCTTATTATTTGCTTTATTTACCGGTCTCCTATTAAATCCAACTTTTTTCCTCCTAAGTGCTGAGGATTGAATCCAGGGCCTCATGCATGCTAACAGCAAGTGCTCTACCACAAAGCTATACCCCAGCCCCCCAACTTGTTTAAGTGTTCAATGACGCAGCATCACCTGAGGATTGAAAGGACCTTCCATTAACATTTGCATCTCTTTTTTCATTTCCTCCCAAGGAACTTCAGTGAACATCAAGAAGAAGAGCCTAGGCCCCATCCTCAACTGCCACCCTCTTAGCTTGACTACAACAACCTTAACACAGAAGTCAGTAAACAAGTGTCTTCCATGCAAGTGTCTATCATACAAGGGACTCTTAGGCTACCAAATCAAGAAAATACTGCTTCTCTTAATATACACATAAAATAGGAAGTCTGAATTTTCCATCATGAATGCATCAACAAGAAGTGGATCCTGTATATTCTCTAAAATTACTATGTTGATTTTCAAATGGATTTAAAATATGCCCCAACCACAGATATATAATGGCATTTTGACATGAGGAATAATCACCTGTAGTCTTGTTTTCCTTCTTTGTCTCTCATTGGCACAGTGCACCTACAACAGTTAAATAAGAAAATATTAAGCAAACATTGCAGGCAGCACTGGGTAGCCTACGTGCAGTGGGGGTGGGAGGGTGGGGACTATGGTTTGTGTCTTGAGCGACGCCCCCAAAGGCCATGTGTGAAAGGTCTGTCCACAGATTAGAAATTTTGGTGGGACCTACTGGGAAGTCTTTAGGCACTGGAGATATCCCCTAAAAGGGCTTGTGGAACCTTAGTTTCTCATCTCTCTTTTGCTTATTGGTCACAAAGTGGCTTCAGCCAACGTGTGCCACCAAGGGCCCAAAGAAACAGGGTCAATCAATTCTGGACTGAAACTTCGAAACTGTGAGCCAAAATAAACATTTTCTCTTTATAAGTTAAATATCTCAGGTATTTGTTAAAGTGATGGGAAGCTAACCCAGGGTTTCCCCCACCAATAATGGACAAAGGCAAATTCAAGCTCTTAAGCCTTCCTTAAGAGACACTTACATGATATACTAAAATATAATAACAAAGAAAAGAGAAGTCTCTATAAAGAAATTGAAAAGAAAAAGCAAAGAAAATGTCTCAATGTTCCCAGTTTTTGTCTTATGGGTGGTGCAGGGGATGGAACCCAGGGCTTTACACATGCTCTGCAGGCACTCTCTTGAGCTATACCCCAGCCAACATTTCCAGCTTTTAGCCAGCTTTAACTTTAGGCTTCTTAGCTTTTTCCAGTATTCTCTTTAAATCATAAAATCCTTAAAATTCTGAGTCAGAAAAATCAGGGTCAAAGTTATCTAAACAAACAAACAAAAAAAGGAATCCCCATACCTAAGTTTTAGCTCTCTTCTACCTACCTGTCTTAAGGTGGAAGAGGTCTGATAGAAAAGCATGTAAGCTGGAAGCAAGGGAGGGTCTAGGACCCAAGACCTAGACCTTCTGTACAGTCTGGGTCAGTTTAAATCTATGAAGAGTCCAAAAGAGGAATGTTACATCCCTATAAGGTGCAGGCGTCTTCTGTCTTTACTAGTGCAGAGAAGCTTAAGCCCTTCTTCAGGGTCACAGGGAGAGTCCATGGCTGAGCTCAAACCTCCTATATTGCAACGGCTGTAGTCAAGATGCTTATCAACGCAAACTCACCCCAGCTTGTAATCGAATGAACGAGTTTCATTTACAATTTTACCTCCATTCTCAAGTTCACTGATTTGCCTCTGAATTTCATAGTCTACAAAAAAACACAGTAAGTTAGGATATTTTGATTATACTTTTTATCCACTCAGGCAAAAATGAGAAACCCTTCTCAATCTTTAAGTAAAAAAATAATCAAGAAGAAGATGGTTTATAACGATCCTCCCCTGAATGCTGTATGTTCCTCTCACTGTAATCATCTCACTGGAAAGGGTCTTAGGAGGCCCCATTCCCTCACTTTTAGGGAGAAACTGGTCCAGAGAGATTGGGCAAACCAGCATAGATTAAACAGCTTAGTCCCATATGTATGTCTAGAGACTGCAGATCTAGGACTGTTGTACTTACCAGGGGTTCTTACCTGTGCATCACAAAGGGCTCTGGTACCATCCCCCAAAATCATATACAAAATGTGGAGGCATGTCCTCTGGAGAGGACCAGAATTTTCATTGTTTTCACAGGGATCTGTGACCCCAAATGATTAACAGTCATTACTTCATGCCATGCTCCCTCACCATCAGAGCAAAACAGGCTATGGTAACCACATAGCCACAATTGTTAAGTTCCTTTATGAGAATAATCTCCTTAACTTCCACCCTACCACACATACCAAACCCTTTGATCTGAGCTGATAAGAAGCAACAACACCAACACTGTCCATTTTTGTTCCATCTCTCCCCAACTCCAAAGGTTCCCTGATTGGCATGAGAGGAGAGCTAAGGGCCCAACGCAGGGAGAAAAAATTAAGTCTATGATGGTAAAGCTGTGGTTCAGCCTGAGTCAGACCACAGGCAGAATTGTCTGATTGTTGCTTCAAAAAAAGGTCACTTAAATGACAAAAGTTAGAGATGGACAAAAACATGCCAGGAGCTCCTTCATAACTCATTACACACAAACCTTCTTAACATCTGGTTGCTTGTTTGTTTTTCCAGGTCAGCAATCACTGCTTCTTAGTCTAATGGGTACCAGAACGCTACTATCCAAGGTGAAGTAGGACTTTCTTTCACTTATTCCAAGCCTTCCCTTCACCAACTTGGGTTACAAGTGTGGGTTTCCCTGGCTCACACATCTGATGGCTTCCAAAGCATAGACTGTTTTCCCTTTTAGAGACAGAGGAAGCCACCCTGTTTAGTCTGCTCTCACATGGGAAAGTTCCCCTCCTCCCACAAGTTACCCTCTGGGACTACTTGATCATTTTAGGTTCGGGATATTCAAGACTAAAATCATCTGTATTATTTCTAATGCAATTCTTGAGACGGCTCAGGATTTTGCTAAACATTTTGGCAACATTCAGTTGTCTTGTTCTTTGTCAGGTGCTGAAGGGATGCACTTCTCTATCCCTCCCTTCATCCCTTTCTCCCTAGACCTTTGGTTTTAAGGTATATTTTTAGTTCTCTGAGAAGTCCTCTCCTCAGATTTAGTCATCAATGTCTATAGGACTGCCCAGATGTTTATTTTGCTAACCTGTTCATTTATTATCATATATTATAATTCATCATCAGTGAAATGCTCACAGTGTGTGTGACCAACCTTGGTGGCACAGGCACTTGTGATCTATTAGCTGAAAACAGTGAAAAGAAGGAAAACATATCAACCAATGCCACAGCCAATCTAATCAACAAATTTGGCTTCAGAAAGAATGTAGGACACAGTAGATGATCACAATATTTTGTGAATCTTCCCATTAGAAGGTAGAATCTACTTTCCCTCTCTGAGTCTGCTTTGAATTCAAGTTGCTTTGCACTCAATCTGCTTTCAACAGACTGTGTTGGAAGTGACACTGTGTTCTAGAGTTTAAGACTCAAGCAGCATTGAGGCTTCAGTCTCTATGTTCTTGGCATGCTCCCACTGGCAAATAGAAAAGCTTAGGCTAGGCAAGTAAGGAGGAAAGACTGTATAGACAAAGAAGCCTCTTAGACATCCAACACCGAGGCCCCCACATGAGCGAGGCCATCTCAGACTTTGTTTCCACTCACCTGCTCATCTCCCACAGTTGCAGGAGTGACAAGAGGCAGGACCAGCAGAAAAACCACCCAGTCCACAGAGCTGTGACAGCTAAAGGGGTTACTGTGTGAGCCACTATGTTTTGAGGAGGTTTGTTACATGTAAGAGTTGAGTGACACAATGAGCAACAGAGAAACAGCTGTCATTCACCTATGGCTTTGGCCAGGAACCTGATGCTGTTGAGATTCTTCACTTCAGTCCGGATGCCCAGAGGCTCCCCAGGGTGATGCACAGATATATTGGCATCCACTCGCAGCTGGCCCTCTGGAGGGAGAGGAAAAAGACAACTTAGTAGAAATAGTTTGAGACAATGTAGTGGGAAGTTGCCAAGGTAAGCGATACCTAACTTGACTTGCTGTTTAGCTTCAGAGAGGGCATGGTTGGTCACGAGGCACAGGACTGTCACCTTCAGGGCAGCTAGGTTCCTAAGTATCCGAGGTGTGTGCATGCATGTGCCTGTATGTGTGTGTGTGTGTGTGTGTGTGCACTTGTGCACATGCAGAAGAGGAATTTTGGATATACCAGCTGGAAGGATCTTTTGAGCTAAATAAGAAGAATGACACTACTAAAGTAGCGATTTACTCTGCAATTTTATTCTGAAGTTTGTTTTTTTTTTAAAGTATCAGAGCTGGGTTGGGGGAAAGTCTCCAAAACAATTATCTGAAAATCCCACAGTGCTCTACAATGGAATGTGGATTTCTAATAGTGATTCCAGGAGATTTATAAGACAGTCCTTGAGAATTTACAGCTCAAGGGCATGAGCTGAAACGTGGGCTCTTTGCCTCCTCCTCCCTCTCCCTCCCACAAACATGAGTCTGAATCTTTCCTGATTGTCATGAGGATTTGCTGCAGCAGAAAACAGTGTAATTCTGAAGTGGGGAGTCAGTGGTAGGACCGAGGGCGGCTGACCCCATCCTTACAGGTTCTTCTCTGCCCCTGAAAGCACCTTGGATTAGGAGCCATAACCCTTAAAGAGGCAGAGGATTAGCAGAGAGGACTAAAGTCTTCTGAGGAAGAGAGGTAGCAGAAATCCAAGACAAATAAAGAGATGAAGACTAGACGCAGTGATTCATGCCTGTAATCCCAGCTACATGGGAGGCAGAGAAAGAAGGGTCTTGGTCTGAGGCTGGCTCAGGACAAAAGTAAGACACTGTATGAAAAATAAATTAAAGCCAAAAGTGCTAGGGGTATGGCTCAAATGATACCGTGATGCCTGCCTAGCAAGTGCAAGGACCTAAGTTTAAACTCCAGTGCCACCACCACCAAAAAAAAAAAAAAAAAAAAGTAATTGTTGCATCTTGCACCCTACAAAGTAAAGCTCAAATTCTCTGTTCTCTTAATTTTACTAACACCACTTAGAACAGAATGAGAAAAAAATGTTGAATTTTATTTTCCTAGATAGTTTTTTCTTCTTTTCTAGTACTAGGGATTAAAACCAGGGCCTCATGCTTCCCAGGCAAGTGCTCTACCACTTGAACTACACTTCCAGATCTTTTTTCTTTGCTTTTTTTGAGACTGGGTCTTGCTATGTAGCCCAGGCTGGCCTGGAACTTGCCATCCTCCTGCATCAGCCTCCTGAGTAGCTGGAATTATAGGTGCATACCACAACACCTGGTTTCTAGGTAGGTTTTTAAAGTGAAAAGTAATCTATCAAACTGGCCCAGAGTGGTGGCTCATATCTGTAATCCCAGTTACTTGGGAAGCAGAGATAGGAAGATCACAGACCACTTGGACAAAAAGTTAGAAAAGTCCCTATCTCAAAGAACAAGCCATGCATGGTGGTTTACACTATAATTCCAGCTACACAGGAGGCAGAGGTAGCTCTGAGGCTAGCCAGGACAAAAAGCACAAGACCTTATTCAAAAATAACTAATGCAAAAAAAGAGGCTGGGGTATGGTTCAGGTGATAGAGTGTCTGCCTAGCAGCACAAGGCCCTGAGTTCAAACTCCAGTACTGCCAAAAAAAAAAAAACAAAAAACCACACACAAAACACAAAAAACAAAACCCTGTCAAACCTGAGTGTTTTGGGCTGAATAAATTCATTTTCCCAGATTCTACAACAAAGGCATATCAAAAATAATAAAAAGTATAAATAAATAACATGACAAGAAACAGAGACCTTTATAACAGTTTCTTTCACTCGCCTAGTGCTCAGCTATGGACTCAATCATATACCAAGTTAAAGAGCACCAACTGCATGCCGCTGCCCCCTTCTCTCTCATGCCCTCTAAGAAAGGGAACAGCTCCTCTACTGTATGGTTCCAAATGCCCGAAAAGCTGCCTTTCAGCTCAGGAGCTACTCTAACTGCATACCCAGCACTGCTTCCCAACATTTTTAGTAAAATCTGCAGTTCATTGTTTCAAACCAGCTTTTGGATGAGTTATGCTTTTCTACATCTCAAGACATTCCACTAGTTTAGGAACCACAATGTTACCTTCCATTTTCCTGGGTTCTTTTGCATCCCTGACTTGACAGAAACAACTTGAGGAGGAAGGATTTATTTTAGTCCATGGTTTCGAGGCTTTAGCCCACGGTTCTTGGCTCTGCTGATTCTGAGTCTGGGGTGAGGCAGAGGTGGTGCTAGTGGAGCATGTAGCAGAGCTCAGTTCATGGTGGACAGAGAACAGATAGGGAAGAGTGAGGAACCCAAAACAAGATGCAGCCGTCAAGGACACTCTCACAATGACCTACTTCCTCCAGCTAGGCTCCACCTCCTAAAGCTTCTAGAACCTCTAAAATAGCACCACCAGCTGGGGACCAAGTGTTTAACACATAAGCCTGTGTGGGGGGGGGGGGTGGTATTTAATATTCGAATCATGACATCTTCTATCCAAACTGTCAATCAGATCTTCTCAGGTCTTCCTTCTAAACAATCATCAGATATTACCACTTCCTCTCCCAAGGTTTCAGAACTTGGGTCCAAGTCACAGGACCACATCCTGACTCTGAACACAGCAGTGCCTCTTGTCCAGGCCCCCACAACATGGCTAAGACTATGGATCATTCCTACTGCGTACTCAAGCACAAGACGGCTCCCACTGGGTTCACTCCTCTCCTCCCCTGGGTCCTCAAGAGACCTTATCAGATCTGTTTCTGCAACTAGATTTTCCTACCATTCACTCTATGGGAAAGCTCCCCTGCAGTCAGGGGAGCTTCCTGCGTCACCTCTCTGTCCATTCCACAGACACATTCTCTTCATCAGTGCTGCAGTCCCTCTTTCCTGCCTCTGCTCATCCATCAAGGTCCCACTTCAGCAAACCCTCACCAACAAAAGAGACTACATTCATGGGTCTTCTGGGCTCTCAAAATATGCACAATCTAAATGACAGAACTGAGCACAAGGCTGCCCTTAATTTTCAATTAACCTCACCTTTACAACCAGAATGAAAGGCCCCTGAGGACAGGGCCCAGATTTTAAATCCCTTCTTGTCCTCTCAAAGACACTGCTCTTTCACTGTCTCCCCACCGGTCATCAATCTGTTTCTCAGCCCTCCTTCTGATATGTCACATATTTAACAGCACTTCTTATTAAGAAAACCAACAGAAGCCCAAAGACCTAGTCCCTTGAGCTCAATTTTTACTCCATCAGTCATCTGGCTACTGTTTCTGTTATCTTTTTCAGCAAATCTTCTCCAACAAGTTTTGCTTGCTTGTGCATATATTGTCTTCACCATCTCACCTCCCATTTACTCCTAAACCCACTTAAGCCTAGCTTTTGTGTAAACGCCCTTATCAGAGGCACCAGCAACCTCCCAGCTGTTAAATCCACTACACAAAGGACATGTTTTATTCTCATTTTACTGGACACATCAGCAGTACATGGCATGTTAACTAATCCTCCTGCTGGAAGCAGCTTCCTGCCTCTGCCTCTGTGGCCCTCCACTCTCTTGCTTTTCCTCCTGCCTCCAAGGGCACACTATTTCCATTTGACTTGCTGGTGCTCTCCTTCCTATCCAACCTCAAGACCTCTCCTTTACTTATGCTCTCTATGAAGGAGTATATGGTTTCAAACACAGCCTCTATTCTTGTGATGCCTGAAGTTCCCTTCTCAGTCCAGACCTCTCCTCTGAGCTCCAAATTAGGTCTCATGGGCGTTTAAATTTCCAAATCTCAGTCATGACTTGCCCCTTCACAAAGACAGGCCTGTCTTCCTCTTTCAGTTTGAGTAACCACTACCACCTACCTCCTCACACTCTGGCAGGAAAAAGGTCTTTGTCAGAATCCAGAGCTGGATCTGGCACATGGTAGATGATCATTTACATTAAACTCTGCTGAATAATGAATGCCAACATGCTAGTATTTTCCTGAGCAATGAATAAGCAGACTGGTTTCTGTCTCACAGCAGGTTCCTGGTAAGTTCTAAAATTCTGTCTGAATAGGACTAATGTACAATTGTGATCAGCTGAAAGGCCCATTAAGCTCAAAGAAAACTTCCAAGGTATGCCAAGCTCTGTTTAACCAAATCTCAATACATGGGAGACAACCTTTTTTTTTAATTCAGGGAAGCCTGAATTACTCACTTGCTTTAAAAAATGAAACCATCTTTTACAATTTAGGATTCTAATTTGGAGGAGGAATAAAAGCAGGAGTTTTAGTCTCTCCCAGAGAAGACCATACTACATAAATGCCTGAGAGGAACCATTTAGTATCCTGCAGTGTTGAAAGAGAGTTCGCTAGCCTAGATTTAAATATAGTATCAAACATTAACAAAAAGACACTCTACCCAGTCAAGACAAAATACCTTTTAAACAAATTAAGTTAAATTGCTTCAAGTGCATGAAAGCCTTACCAGGCAGGTTTACTTCAACGCATCCTGTCCCACTGCGGGATGGCCTTCATTCACCCATCATGAGAATGTTACTAACCTCAATTTCCATCTCTAGAAGCAGAGATTTGTAACAGAAAAACTAAGAACTATACCACTGAGCACAGTGATAGAGTGCAGTTATGTATTTTTTTCTAAAACACCTTCACACAACAGAAATATAACACTGGGACAGAAAACTGTTTCTGTAAACAGCAGGGGCCTGAGACTTTGATAGGAAGGTCTGTCAAGCTATCTCATTCTGATTGCTGAATACGTTCTAAAACTTAAATAATAAGACTTTTTTTTTCAGATTAAAAAAATGTTTTTTGCTGTGGATGGAATCCAGAGCCTTGCACATATTAGGAAGGTGTTCCACCATTGAGCCCTACTCTGCCCAAGAGTGACCAAATGTTAACTGGACATATTTAACAAAGCCCATTCATCCAGATGAGTGGTAATGCCATAAAAATAATCCTACTGATTACTGTAAGAGAAGAACGTGACATTGATCCAGCACAGGCTTACTGCCAGGCCCTGTGCTCTTTTTTATATAACATTATATCCATTTCCTACAATATCACTTTCCTGACAAAGCCACTTAAACATCCCTGTGGCATTTCAAACTTACCATTTTCAAAATGAAATTTGCCCATGAAGTCACTCCTTTTCCAGTTGCCTTAACTCTACCTCACAGCTCTCATGGCTCTTTCCCCTCTTCAGTTTCTTCCTTGCCCTTCCCACACAAAATTATTTGGGGATGACTTTTCTAAGTGTGGAAAGCAAGGCTCAAAGAAATAATAATATGCCAAGTTTCCACTGCCAGAAGTTGCAGTCCAGGATTCCCACGCAGGTGCAGGCCCTCGGAACCCTGAGTGCCCAGGCTCTTTTGCCCACCTACAAGTTAGCCTCTACAGTGTTCATAGCACTGCCAAGGCCACCACTAGGAAGCAGTGTGACACAAAGGGCTTTCAGAGTCACACATCTAGCCTCAATCCCAGTCAGGAGCTTCTTGTGAGCTTTAGTCAAAAAACTTGACCTGTCTGAGCCTCAGTTTCCTCACATGTACAACAGGCATGATACCATCATTTTCTAGGAATGGCACAATGTTTAAATGAGATGATACATCAATTTTCAAACACGTGTAGTGAACTGACAAGCACCTATTAAATGCTCCAACTGGTAGGGATGACTATTATGATAATGCTTAGGTAGTCTCCTTCTGCTCACATTAAACTCAACGCACTGCTCTGAGGATTTCCTCACCTGTGATGACATGCTATTCGCTAAGAAGGAAATGACGCAGAATCTGGTGAGGCGATTCATGTTCTCTAGCAAAGCTCAAGCGTTCAATCAGTAGCAGCCCAGAACAATGTGTGCTTCATTCTGAAAGCACCATGTCCACCAGCCTTCAGTGCCACCTCTTCAGGGTGGCCCTCACTTCCAGGCTGCACTCTGCAATGCTGATACAGTGGTCCATGGGGAAAACAGAAGAATGGAAAAAGGAGTTCAGGCTGTAACATGCTAACAGTACCAAGAAGCCATACTCCTGCAGACTCCAGGCAGCCCTCATCTTCCCCACACTTCAGCATAACCAAAGCCACTTGGCTGCTGTGCTTTAAAAGAAACAAAAAGTGTCACAACAAATGAGATTTAATGAACACTTTCAGTTGTCACTGACTCATGAGTTCTTGCCACTATGGTTTATCTCTTGGCAAGGACCCAGATGGGCCAATTTCTCAGCTAACAGGTGGCCTATTTATTATTCCAGAAGGTTTCAGGAATCACAGTGATTCTGAAGAAGAACAGAATAATTAAAACTTTTTTAAGTGATAGAGAATCCATGCTTAGCACATTAATGAATAACCATCCAACCTGCTCAGATTTCACTTATGTTTTGTGGACAAAAAAGCCACATGAATGACAAATGCAACATGAGAATTCTTAGCCTAACAGTCTCATTTCTGTAAAAGAAGCTTGTATGCAGCTAACCTTTATACTATTCAAATTTACACGGCCATGTTTCTCTGGTCTTTAGCTTACAATAGCAAATAAGCAAGTTCTGTCTTCAATTCAACTTGTACCAGGACTCTGATGTTATGACTTATTGCTTGTAAGAAGTCCTATGTGACAAACGTGGCATTATAAATTCAGAAGGGCCTCTGTAACATGCAAACACATTATCTGACATGATAACGGTGTAATAACACCATGAACTAGCAGAGACAAATGTGATTCACCAGTGGTATTTACTGAATGCTCACTGTGACCACTGTACCGTGCATGCTATGGAAACACAAAATTGTAAATTCAAAGCCTGGACCCTGTCAGGGAAGGCTCCAAGGGTGGGGGAAGTTTTGAAAAAGCCCCAGGGAAAAGAAAATAGAAGGAAACCATGGAAGACATCAGCTTTCATAGACTTGAGGGAGGGTAAAAGAGCATGAGCAAGGGCCAAGGGAAGACAGTCATAAAGACACCGAACTTGACCAAATTTGTAATCTTTATATCTGATTTGCAAACATTTTAAAGGTAAAGTTTGCTTGGTTTACTCCCAAGAGTAAAAGTGTTTCTTCTGTTTGAGTTTCTTGCTATATTTCTACTGAACTTTAAGATTTTCTCTCAGGATAAAGTTTGATGTCACCATAATCTTGGCTTACAGGCAATAAAATCTGGTGTTAGCTATACATGGATAAAAATTCATTTTTTATAATTAAAAAAATTTTAATTGTGTAAATTTATGGATTACAGTGTGATAATTTGATATATGTATATGGTTGTAATATTGATCACAGGGTAGGTAACATTTCATGGATGAAAATTCTACAAAAGAAGGAAAAGAAATAGATATCTCCCAAAATAGCAACTATTTATCCATAAAGAACTCGCAAACTAAGAATTATTCTTGAACTGTGTCCCGTTTCTGAGAAAGATTGAATTGCTTAAACACATTTTATGGGTCCTCATAGCTATAAGAAGCTGAAAGAAGGCATGTAGTCATTTGACTTCTATGCTCAATTCTTATGCTATATCTGCATTGCTGTGTTTGTGTGTTTAGTTTTGGTTTTAGGATGCTCAGAAAACAGTCATAGAAAAATTCTAAGAAAAAAAAAAGCAGGGGTGCAATAGATGTGAGCAATCTCAATATAACTGATAGTGGAGAATAAAACTCAGGAAGCAGAGAGGAGGAAGGTCCAAAAGGAGGATGTCCCAGAGGTTCTACCTGACATGTTCGCTTGGCTGGTCCCCAGGGCTTGAAGGATCAGCTGCAGCTCCCTGATGGCCATGGCTGCCTCTTCTCCACAGCTCAGATCGGGCTCCAGGACTACTTCCAGAAGGCCAACTCCTACCAAAGAGAGTCAGGTCAGCCTGAGTGGGTCTTGTCAATCTCCTCAGTTGGTAAACTGGGCAGAAACCTTAGAAAACCCTACTTTAAGGAAGGACCCTCAAAATGGTTTCAGCCTCAAAATTGTCTCTCTTCCCCAACCCTCTGCTAATTTTTGATTTTTAACTTTCATTCATTTCTTTAACGTCTATTTAAGAATATCCAACTGTGGGGTTCGTGACTAGGTGGGTAAATCCATCTGATTTTAGGGATAAATAACTGGCAAGCCCAGCAGTGAGCACAGTTCAAGCCATGCTCTCTCATCAGCTCTGCCAATACCAATGTGGATATTTTGATCTCTGTCTCAGGCTTCTATGCCTGCTTTTTCTATTGGTGTGGTGTAAGTCCAGAGGGACTAAAACCTAAGAACTTAGGGGGCTGGGAGGAAAAGCAATACAAACACGCCAAGCCTACCAGCCCTGTTTAAGTCAACAAGCGTCTGGGACCTCAAGTCGTCATGGAGACTTTTGCCACTGTCTTGTTCCAACTGGATCTGCTTGATCCTCACCGTCTTGGTGGTCATCGAACTCCACTTCTTCACACAGACACCAAATGTCAAGCTCCCATTGGCAGCAATGGGGAGCCTCTGCTGGGTAATCTGGTAACCTGCCTGCACTCAAATAAGCAAGGGTTACAGTTACCAGTGCAGAACAAAAAAGTGGGATCCAGTTCATGGTTCTGATTAATGTAACACCAAAAAGGCTTACCTGAAACAATAACAATAAAAAAAGTAAGAAGAAGAAAAGAAAAATTAGTTCATGAACTGCTGCCAAAATTTGAGCTGGCTTCTTCTGGCTTTTTCCATCACCCTTTTACTCAACCTTAGCCCCTCACTCCTCAATAACACAATTAGCAACACAAATCCCATCAAGTGCCATTTTTGGGAATAACAATAATCTCTTTGTCAGGGGCCCCTAAGAGAAGAATTTATTGTTTTCATTTAGCTCATTAGCCTAAACTCTGCATCTCATTACCCGGCTCCTGACAGAGCCTCCTTATTAGAAAATGCTGGGGTAAGCATTTTCGTCATCTACTTTCAACACGGCCGACAGCAACTGCCAGTGTTTCGACTTGTTTTGATTCTGCTCTTTCAGCTAAGCAATCATGCCAGCTGCCCTCCTGAAGCCAACTTCCCTCAGTCTTCTAGTCTAATGGAAAGCACACTACACAGAAATATTGGTGGATGGTGCAAGGACAACTGCCCCTCCTTCTGAGTGGAGAGGAAGAATCACTTTCAAATGCACATACACATCAACAGGCACTAAAGGATGGCAGGTCAATGCAAAGATACTTGGAGAAGAATATAGAAAAACAGCAATTGCTAAAGGCCCAAACACTGTTCCAGCATGTTACACTCATTTCATCCCACAACCCAGAGAGAGGTAAGGGGCTTACCCAAAGTCACACACAGATCTAGGTCGTCTCTGCAATAGCACGTGAACTCAGATGATCTGGCTCCAGATACTTGTCACTACTGGGCCAGCCAGAGATTTTTAACTTGTTGTCAAATTGAAGAGTGCTTGATGTTACCTCAAAGGTTTCTGATTCTGTAGGTCTCAGGTAGGATGGGGATTGAGAATTTTTATTTCTAACAGGGTCCAAGGAAAAGTACTGGTGTCCTGGAACCACAGTTTGAGAAGCCTTCAACAGGCTAATTTCCCAGGCTGAGAAAGGAAGTCTCAATTTACAAAAGGAAACTCTAAGATCACTGGATAAAATACAGGACACCTTGATACATTTGAATTTCAGATAAACAAATACCTTTGTGGTATAAGTATATCCCATGTAATACTTGGCAATACCAGTTCTAGATTAGCTGAACTACCCAGGCTAGAGAGAGCAGAAGACCATGGATAATCTAAACATCTCATTTTCATCACATATTGCTAAGCTAAGTTCCTACCTTAACCAAACTAGTGTTTGTGCATGTGTGTGTTACTAGAGTTCGAACTTAGAACATGATCCTCCTACCTCCACCTCCTGTGCAGCTGGGATTACAGGCTGTACCACCATGCCTGGGCTTGGTTATCTCTCTCTTAAAAGATGAAGTAATATGGGCTGGGGGGTAGCTCAGTGGTAGAGCACTTGCTTAGCATGCACAAAACCCTGAATTTGTTCCCCAATGCCACAAAAAAAAAAAAGAAAAAAGAATGAAGAAATAAAGTTTAATTATTTTCAACTTATACAGAAAGTCTTGCAGAAACACTGGAAGCCAGAAGATGAAAGCTGTAACTAGAGAATTTGGATTCTACTTTATTTACTCATACTCCTGTCCTCTCCCACTAAAATCTAACACCCTCAAATCTTTGGTTCAAGGAAATAAGGTGAGGCAACATTATCACTGTTATTTTTTTAAATCAAAAGGAGAGCCACATTTACTATTAGAGGCTCAGATCAAATGACATTATTTTCAGAAATCCATTCAACATTTCAGTTTCTTCTAGCTCAATTATGAAAAACTGCCTTCCGTTTACACTAGCACTATTAAAGAGATTCTAACTTTAAGAAAAAAGCAGGAAAATACTGAGTTTACTGCTCAGCCAATTACTGCTGTTTTTGCAGGTTTCTGGTTCATGTTTCTGCTTACTACTGTCTACTTACTTGCTCCTCGGGAGATGACAGAAATGTCTCCAAAGGAGATAGCCTTCTTATTGGGAGGCTCAACTTAAAAGACAGGCTCTCTCATGATGTCTTCAGAGACAATGGGCACTGACAGTTGCATCAGCCACGGGGTTAGCCTTTGTCCTAGCAGGCAATTAGCAACGACACCATGGCTGGGCTGAGCCTGACAACACTGGCTTCTCCAGGTCCCTGTTCAATTATGAGCAAGCCACAGAAGCATGAGCTAAACAAGCAGCCAGCAATCAGGACAATTGCATCCAATCTAGTAAACATCAGGGGGCACCTGCCTTCATCAGGGCTGGACAGAACTTCCCACTGCGATGGACAGAACACTGATGGAAAACATGAGAGGTGCAGCCCCGCTCCTTTGCTTCCACCATCCCCAAGGCAGGGCTGGCCCAGCTCTGAGGACTTCCAGGGCTGGATCACAAAGCATACTTACAGGGAGGTCTGCATAGAAGTAGTGCTTCCTGTCAAACAAGGACTTCTTGTTTATGTAACAGTTCAGTGCCAGGCCTGTCATCACTGCAGCTTCTACACACCGCCTGTTGAGAACCTATGGAAATACACACAAGCTCCTTTTAGAACCCTGGGCCCAATGACACTTCTCCCACACTGATGTCCTCCCTGAATATTGAACTGGGCCCTTCAGTGGGCATTAGCTCTAGTGCTCTGCGTGGGCAGCTCTGCTTTACAAGCTGTGTGTTTGCACATCAGGAAAGTGATACAGGAAGGAACAGGCATGTAGCAGCGGGTCTCACTGGGCACTTCATAAACTGCCACATCAGGGACTACCTGGCATTGGAGTTAACAGGAAGAGTATCAGAAAGGTTCAGTAGAGCTGGTATTACATGGAATTGTCCATCCTTCACTCCCTCTGCAAACAGAATCAGGGACAAGGCAGAACCCATTCGAGGCACTGACTAAAGAGGAGCAGGTGCAGTTCAGCAAACCACCTCCCATTTCTGTGAGACGTGAAGTGGTGAGGCAGGTGAGAATAAGAGGCTTGCTGGGGGCTCTACTGACAGAAAAAGAACAAACTTCTTCCTTTTTTTGAGACAGGGCCTCACTATGTAGCCCAGGCTGGCCTTGAACTCTCAATCTTCCTGCCTCCGCCTCCTGAATGCTGGGATTGCCAGTCGTGCACCACCACACCTGGCTAAGAATGAACTCTGGAGAACTACAAGGCTCCAGCCATTTCCTCAAGGGCTCAGCCTCCTCCCTGTGTTTGGCCCAGCCTGGCCAACTCCTAAAATGTACTTTGCAAAAATCTGTGTAGACACTGTACTTGCAAATGAAATATATTTCTATATTTTATTAGAATACTTATGTTCTTTAGTATATTTAATATTTCTATATAATGTTATATACAACATGTGTAGTAGTATTTATATCTATTGCTTATGTAGTTAAGACTTTCTGGTGCAGAATTTTTTAAATCCACTGTTTTACTTCAGCCTCACAGCAACCCTGTAAAGAAGGAATTAGTATTATTACAACATTTCAGATAAAGAAAAAGTAGGACCCAGAGAAACTAAAAGATGTGCCCAAGGTGGCAGGTGATAAAGCTGGCTCTTAGACCCATTCCTGCCTGTGTCCTTGCTAGGGGTGCCAAGAGGAATTTCTGTGGCTTAAGGACTGGCTTTCTGGGCTGGGATGGTACAAACCGATCAATCAAACACAGACTTAATAACGAACTATATGATAAAATGTAGGAGTAGTCTCTACTTACTGCAATATACACCCCCCAAAGAAAACCCAAACAAATCTCCCTCTAATGACAAATCACACCCCTCTTCCTTAAAACCCAGGTTACAAATGGAGCTATCTCATAGCTTCTATTCTTAGTTCTTCCTTCTGGGCCTATAATGTTGTCAGCTCTGCAGTAATAATGGTTCTCAAGAAAAGACGTGTGTAGGGACCAGGATACTCTAATTATTGATGCTTTCACTCATTAGTGTTTGGCATTTCATTGCATGGTTGTCACTGTGATACTAATATAGCTGGGGGAGAGGCTGGCCAGACCTGAGCCTGGTGACTGGAGTCAAGGCACACAGACCATTCAGCTTATCCTACATATGGGCTGTGTTCTTCCTGGGGCAGGGCCACAGCAGGGCTCGCCTGTACACTGTCCACCCTCCCGGTCTACACCAGTTTTGCTTGCTCCCTCCCATTATTTTTCTGGCCTCTCCTTTCTCTCATTCTGGCTCAGTCTGCCCATTTGGGGCCAACCTGCCTCCCCCTAGGCACAGGGAACCCAGGTTGTTTTGTGCACTTTCTAGCACACACAATAAACTGCCTGTGCCTGGAACTGGGAGGGAGTCTGGGTGATCACAGACTCTCGCTCGCAGTGCCCAAGTACCCAGGCACTTGATAAACCATCAATTTCCAAAGAATAAGAATGCGGTAAAACACACAAACATTAAAGTGATATTGAATATACTTTAATCTTTTTTTGATGATTTAGGAGGCTTGAAGTACTTCAGGGTCAGAATTACAAGCATCAATCATCACCACACTACAGATGCACAGAGGGGCTAGTAAACAGAGAGTGCCAGTTAAAAGAATGCCAAGAAAAGAGAATTTATTATGATCTTAGTCAAGCTGCTTGTGACAGATGGAGGGCCAGGTCAGCATGTTCTGAGGATAGGATAGAGAACTGGAAAATTCAGCTTGGGCTCTCTTCACCACAAAACATACTTCAATAACATACTAAACATAAGGGACGCCAAGATAAGTAGAACTATGTCCCTGCCCTCAATGAGTCTGTAGGGGTGACAAAAATCTGCCAGCATTTCTAATGCCTTTTTCAAGCCCATCTTCCACATCATGGTGACCCCTGCAAAAATGCATCTTGTGGCAACTGTTGCCCAAAGTCTCAGCCCCATGGTAAAGACCAAGTTCTGACATGATCTAGCTCCTTCCTACATGCTTAATTTCATCTACTGTGTCCCTCTGCCCTGCCTATGTCTCAATTCTCCTTTACAAACCTGCAGACCTGACTCTCCTGAGCTTTTTTCCCTTTAGTCTTACTAAGGTGCCACTGTCTGTGTGAAGCCTGCATCACTATCCTTCCATGCACCATTCTGACCTTCACACTTTCATTTGCGCTTGTATCACAGTGGAGTGAATTTGCTCACATATTATTTCCATACAACTGAAGTCTCATGAGATGGGAACTGTCTATCATCCTTGTATCCCTGGAGCCAAATACAGAATCTGAAAAACAGTGGTGGCTCAATTTATGTGTGTTGAACTCAATGAGGAGGAAGATGATGGCTATGCAGGAAGGTTTCAGAGAGGCAGTGATGGCCAACTCTTCTTCAAAGTGTTACCTGTTACCTGCTAGCCTGTAAACTTGTTTCTGAAGTGCTGTACGTGACAACTGACCATGTGTGATGTGATTAAAGGGGTAACTTGAAAAATCAAAAGACTAATTTGTCCTAAAGAACGCATGTTCCAGAATTTTCTTTCTAATTAACTGCAGTGACTACAAAGGACCATGGGATTGGCCATAACAGCTCTCATGTGGAAAGAAGTCAATAATCCTTGGTATTCACACAGCATACCTTGCTCAGTGGAGCCTTTGGAGACTTGCCTTTGGCAAGTTATTTACTGTGCACTGGTGTTATGTCAGGAGACATGCTATGGTATCACGGGCATCTCCTAGCAGTCCTGGGGTAGATACTTTTAGGACCTGCATCTTATGGATAATAAAGGGAAGAAAAGAGATCAAGTCATCTGCCTCAAGTGACACATACAGTAAGTAGCAGAGCAAGGAAGTCAGACTTGGAACCTGGGCTCACAACCACTACAACTCTACCTCAAATCTTCAAAGAATTGAGTGTGTCAGTTTTAGCTCTCAAGAATACTAACACCTGACTGTAGTGCAGTGTCTCAAACCAAGTCATATTACTCATAATTTAAGGCTGATACTGTTTCTAGTGTTGTCCTTCTTACCAGATTGTATCTCTATGGGTCTGTTTCTAGGTACTAAGCCACCAGAGGGTAGGCACTGGTTTTTTGGTTTTGTTTTTTAACTTTCTGGGCACCACCTAATACACAGTCTCTGGTAGGTCGAAGGTTTGGACATGGGTGGACTTATAGGTTTTCTCAATTGGTAGAGGATGTTCCATTGCTAGATTTCTAAAACAAGTACTCATAAGATGATTTATCAACTAGGAGCTAACTCTTTTTTTTCTTTTTTTTATTAGAAGGTAGGAAAGCTGTAACAGAAGTAGATGACCTAAACACTCAGTGGATGGTCAAGAAATTTCATGACTAGTAGAGAGAGAGAGACTGGAAAAATCATGGCCTGGGAAAAGAAAATCAGGAGTGGTGGGTAACAAATGGGAGTAGTGAATGGTTTTTCAAAAGAATTGTGGATTTGGCCTGTTTGTAAACGTGAGTAGTGTTGCAACCATAGTTTTCTCAGAACCTAAAACACATCCAGTGCACAGGCAGCATAAATACCCCAGAAATGTGTCTGAGACCTCAAATGAGAAACTGTGACCTCAATTTGAGAAACAGTCCTCTAGTTTTGAATAAGCAGGTTGTGACTGCTGAGAACAAAAGATCTCCATTCAATGTAATTCCCAACACATCAAAAAAAAATCATAAAGTTACTTAATACATCCAGATTCTCTCTACCCTGTATACTCTAAGAAAATGCAGGCCTCTGTTCAAACCCCTTCTAGCCAGGGCTTTTATCCTTAACCATCTGGCCAGAGGCTCCCTCTGCCCTAGTGTCCCTCCACAGCTCCTCAGGAGTGACCTTTTCCAGGATCAGTCTGCTCATGTACTTCCTCTCCTTAAGTCCTACTTCACTGCTCCCTATCCCTGAAAGGATGAAAGCCAAGTGCTTAGGGAATCTTCAGTGCCTTTGTGATCCAGCCAAACTACCATTCCTCCACAACCCCAAACCCAACCTAACCTCTCAGGCAGCCAAATGTGGGGCATGCTTCTGTACAAACTGTCTCTTCTACTGGTAACACTCTTCTTCCTCTCTACTTGAGCAAATTCTAGGCATCTGTCAAGACTCTGACATGTCACTTCCTTTGTCACTTCTTCCCCACCACTACCCCAGGCTAGTTGTTCCACTAGACTGTGGAACACTCAGTCTAGCCTGAGCTCCCTGAGAGCAATCAAGTCATTCTTCTTAGTCCACCACCTAAATACAACACTAAGCTGATTAAACATTAACTGAGGTAATGAATAATTTAACATTTCTTTTATAAACACCCCAAAGACTATAGGCTATGAAATAAAAGTACAATCATTCCCTCAAATGTATCCATCAGGAAAAAGAAACCACTGTTAGTATGTAAAACAGAACAAATTTAATGCAGAGAAGTTATTACACAGGTAACAAAAGGGCAGAGATGTAAGAGAGCACAGTGGGAGAACTCAGGAGATTCTCCACAGCAGAAGCCACCCCTATCTCAGGGCTGGAGGGACAAAGAAAAAGCAGTACAACTGGCAGCCAGGTGTGGGACTGCCAAAGGATGCAGGGAACATGGCAGGGCTGTGTCCCAGAAGCTGAAGCCATAGATAAGA